GGGGCCGGGGCTTGCCGGGGCAGCGGCCCCGGGCTCTGCCGGCGGGGAGGGGGCGAGCCCCGGCCAGACGCGTCCGTCGGGCTTTTCCTGGGCGCCCGCCCCGGGCCGGGCTCGCTGCCTGCGCTCCTCCCGCCCTCCTAACCTTGGAGCTGCCCCCAGCCCTGCTTTCGCTTCCAGTCGCTGAGCTGGGTTTTCGGAAGGAATGCGGCGGCTGTGGTGAGTCAGGGTCCCTGCTGGCCTCCTCCCCGCCCGAGCCAGCTGTGAGAGCATCTGACTCACGCTGCCCCGACCGGCCAGAAATTAAAGCAAACATCAGATGACTCCAGCGTGCAGAAAAGCGACTTGTTCTCCTTGTACTGGCTGCAAGGCAAACACTATTAGCTGGTTTGTATCAAACGCTATCCACGTGAATTGCTTTGTTGGATTGCCAGTGCTGCACATCGGTTTTATTTTTATCCAGTGCTCGCTTGGGGCTCAGCCCGCTGTAGAACAGGGGCAACCTGACCCAGCCCAGCAGAACGTGATTTTCAACCTCAGCCTTTTCTGCTTCTCCCCAGCCTCGCTTCAGAGCCCCTCACGAAGGAGGAGCGCCAATAAAGACGTTTCCTGTGCTTTGTGCAATCGTTGTATTTGACTTTGGAATCTGGCCTTAATATCGGGGTTAATACCCCTGATGTTGTGCAATCGTTGTATTTGACTTTGGAATCTGGCCTTAATATCGGGGTTAATACCCCTGATGTTGCAAGTTCCCTGGAGAATGACTGTATTTGGTAATGCTCATGGGACTTGGGGTTGGTCTGAATCAACTGGTACTGAATTATCAGTACTGATAATTCACTTGCAGGTTCAGTACTGATAATTCACTTGCAGGTGAGTGAGTAAGCCACAAACCACACCGGTGACACTCCCAGTCTGCACTACTGCAGAACGCTCACATCAGAGAGCTGTGCAAAGAGATTCGTCCAGGGTTTAAATCCAGTGTAAACAAATCTTTAATTTTACACGTAAAGTCGGTACAAAGAGGTTGTGTCTTTTATTTAACCAGGTGATACAGCTGGAAAAAGTCTCTCTGAGGTTTTTCAGTGTTAGGTACCATTTGATAAATGCCACCCGTAGCAATGCCCAGCAGTGAGTGTCTCACTCCTTACACAGCTGCAACCACTGAACCACTGATCTATAGCTCTGAATTTCTTAGAGACATAGAACTCTTCTGTTGGTGCTAAATAATCCTGTTTACTGCTGCTTTTGTAGGCATGGCATCAGTTCCGCTACCTCCCGTGATTAATGCACAAGGCAATTATATAGGATAAAGAATGTATCTCTGTGATGGGTCTTCAACACTGTCGCATTTCTACTGCAGACAATCATCCCTCTTGTTCAGGTAAAGATGTCAGTGCAGAGCTAAAAAGAATTCACTGCGTAATTGCGAACCAAATTCTAGAACATCACAACGCACCCTACACAATGAGCCTGACGTCAAAGAACTCTGCCACTGTTCCCTGGGCTAGCTCTGACTTTAGAGAAAACAAAGAATGTCTCAGACAGATTTAAAAAGTGCAGAGTGAATATGAAAAAAAAAATCAAAAAAAAAATCTATGCGTTCGTACTTTCTGGTCACATCGCCATAAATCGAGATGCTTGCATGTTTGATTTTCTCAATGTGTTGGTGCTTGCCACATAGTGAATTTAAAGTTTGTGCCTTTGTAATTGGAAATGAAGATTAACTAACTTCCCTGTTAGTTCTGATTCCTCCAGAAAGAAAATAACAATCTCCTTATGCTAACAGTCTTCCTTCATGCAATTATTGGCTTGAAAGAGTAGGCATTTTTCTGCTGCAAACGAAAATGAGAGCCTTGAGATGCACACAGTTGCAGTCACACTCATTAGCTGAAGCAAAATATTAGTCCTGAAGAGGCATTTAGCTACCTGGGTACAGAGATGGATCAGCAGGTATACTTGGCTCGTGCCAGACCTTGTTATTTCTGGAATTAGCAGCCGTCCTCTGCATAAATCACTTTGGCTTTTCCATGCCATGAATAAAAGTGATGCGGTATTTTGGAGTGTATTGTGGTGTGAATGCTACTGTCACCGTGGGTGAAGTGACAACCCACTACAAAGCAGGTGTTAGAGGGATTTAGAATACGCAGTTCTAGCTGGGTGCCTCTTTTGAGGCAAGTGACAGGAAGCAAGCCCTGCTATCTGCTGTCCATCAATTCAAAGCTTAGAAATGCTGAGAGTTCAAGGCAGCCATCTCAGGAAGACTAAATTTTAACGGAGACAGTTATAGAGAATCTTTGCTGGCAATTCAGTCATGTAATGCAAGGAGTAAATAAAGAATAAGACCCCACAGAAATGGTGTGGCAAATTCATGTACTGCACTGGTCTGAGGTATGTGCTAGCACTGGTTAGGTGCCTATAAAATGAAAATAAAAATAGATGTAGGAAGAAA